TGCCATGATCTTTTTTATCTGTGTATGTGTATGTTCCTTATATTTTTTTTTATCATTTATCTTTTTACGTACTAAATGGAAAAAACTTGTGTTCAAGTCCCCGGATATAATGTAAATCTTCTACCTTCGGTGTTAAATACTGGTTATTATTATAAATAGAACAATAATTCACTTATTTCGTAAGACTTAAGATAATTTTAAAGTTAAAAATCCATCAAGTATTGAATAAAACAGGAAAATTATTCAATTCGAATAAAGTAATTTAGATGCAAATTATTAAAATTGCTTGAGGGATTTCTATAGGGCAATGCAAATACATCAGTGATACTAGATAATCACTTTTGTCATTAATTCCAAGATCTTGAGGGATTATTACTGTGCAAAGAACTCCAACGAGTAATAAAAATGAATAGGGAAAAGATATAAAGTAACCAATTTAAATTCTGGATGGAATTATTGGTACATTTAAAACGCAGGCTGTTTATTCTCTTGCGATTGGGATGTTCAAATCTCAAAGTGTGCTATAATAAATTATATAAAGGCTACGCTCTTGGACAATGCCTAACCACAAAGTAGATAATATACCTTACGTAGCGTTGGAAGGCCTCCCTCTAAGTGTACCGACGACTTAGTAAGGGTCGCGAGCAATGGTGGATGCAAATGACAAAGTAGCATTCGTTGTGGCGTTCTTAGGGGGAGACCTATGGTCAACAGTGAACGTTTTGCGGCTGATGATAGTGATGATGATGATGACGCTCTTGAAACCTGGCAACTGTTTTCTTATAAAAATGATGATATACTTAATTTTAAAAGTTTTCGGAATTTAATCATATATTATTGTTACTTAAAGGTTTTTTTGCTTAGTGTTTTCTGTTCACGTTCAGTTTATCGTTGAATTCGCTATATTTCATTGCGGTGGGTGTTACGTAATACTGTTGCTTCCAAAAGATTTATGCGCTACTTCTACACTCTTGCAAATGTTGGCTACATTGGAAAAATCGCGGCGCGCGGGTCGCCTTATTAGCAGTCCCTTTGTGTATGGCACGTACTGCGTTCGTTAAGGCGCAACTATAACGTTCTTATGTCATTTCGGCCACGCAATTGACGTAATTAGAAATTACACTCGCGATTCAGCACCACACGAAACCGTCGGCTGATGAGGAAGTCTGTTTGGTGTTATTCAAACAGCCAGCGAGCCGCGAATGTTACGCCAGCCAAATGTTTTTAGAAGGAAACAATAAGTGCGTTAATATTCATATTTTTATAGGTGCACATCACTATCTTTAACAAGGACATGCGTTGGCATGTTAAAGCACATTCATTTTAAACGAAGAAGAATTTAATCTGTTCACTTCAAGTTAAGATGTAATGAGAAGAAATGTGTACTGAGATAGAATAGCAATTTAACTTCGCGGAGCAGTTTTCCGATTTCTTTTATGCAGTTGGAGCGATAGCCCGATTGAATGCAAGTCTCATTCGAGACAAGCTATTGGCCTATAGTTTATTCTGCTATTCGATATAACTCAAGATTTACCCCTAAAGTAGAATTCCCGTTATTCTGTATATAAAAAATATTAAAGAAACCAAAATTTGTACCGATATAAAAATATTGTATCAATTATCTACTTTTTTATGAATGAAGAGTAAATACTTACTAACTGCATAATAATCATAAAGTTCCAATAATTTGCTTCTTTTCTCTCAGATTTAAGATATCTAATTCATTTTTAAGACTACTAATTTTTATGAACTGCTGGTGAATTTGCTCAGCTTTTGATTTCGGTTCTACTGGTCGTGGCTTCGATTCCCACAAGGGACATTACTTGTTTTATCCACGGATAATTTTTTCAAATATGGTCGTTTGTCCATGCGAAATTTGAATATGTAATACGTTCTTATGACAAAGGTAAGAGCAACGTTATATTTAACAAAACGAGATTGTTTTTGGACTGCAGATTAAAAAGATGAATTTCAATACTACCGATAAGCATATGAACTAAGAAATAGGCAGTCGTATTGAAAAACCTATTTTGAATAATTCGATCGTACGGAATAGTCTATTGAAGAGTTATATAACGCTAAAACGTTCTATAACTCTTCGATAGACTATTCCGTACGATCTTATATTATGTGATATTTATATTATAAATAAGACTTTTTGATAATCCGTTTTTAGAGAGCTTTTAAACCTCCGATAACTTATTAGGAATAAGACCGTAAGTGTAAAAATGCGGGTGGTGAATATAGATAGATATTTAGCAACAATATATTAACGATAATATTTATTTAACAAATGTATGTTGAAATATCAAACGGCTCCGAAGTTTTACGGCTCACTGCTTCATAGCATCCTTCCGGGAAAGATATTCGAAGCATCAATGACAAAGAGATATTAGTATAATTATCAACTGCGGTCCCGTCCCTACATTTGGTTCACTGTACCATAAAGGTATTTTCTTTTGACCAGTGATCATTAATTTAATCAAGCTGGGCTTCAAGATGTTTTACGCTTTATGATTGAAGGTTGTGGATGTTGATTCAGAATTGTGAGTGATGAAAATTGTTTCAAAAGCCGACAACTGGAAGTCATTCAATGCTAATTTTTTTCTTTGTTTTTTATTAATTCAATATGGACAAGAAAGAAATAGTGGTACGATATGGAAAACATTTGATGTAAAAGAGTTATTTTAAGGAAGCTTTGTGTTATTTTAAATTAATCTAATGTCTCAAATCAAGTAAATAATATAAACTGCTCAAGTTTGTAGACAGAGAAAATTTCTTAATATTTAAGCCAATAAGCTCATACGTGAATTTTATTAGTTTTATTGTTTTTATTAGTTCTCGACATATTTAGAAATTAATAAAAAAAAAAATAATTCCAGAAGTACCTTAATGGGAAGAAGAGATTCTCTTAAGGATACATAAGTATCTTGAAGATGACTATTCAGTTAACAAAAATAGATTTCAAAATCATTCACGTGTTGGGAATGAATCAACGCGGCCCATTTGGCATAGACGCGCCATTTTATTTAGATTTCGTAATGACTTTGGACAAGTACTTACTGATCGTCCGTTAGAATCATGCACAAATAATACGAGTTAAGAGGTCGCCAATGTAACTGTATCTGTACACATACGTGACGTGTTAAAAACATATACTTCGATATTAATGTTATGTTTTAATTTATGGACACTTTATTACAGACAATAATACATTTTCTCCTACATCTTTGCTCTTGGAAATATTGAAAACATTAAATCTACCACGAAAAATCAGGTAGTTTATTTATATTATGTAAATTATTAAATTATATTTATTAAACATATACCTACTTGGATATAAAGTTAATACATTTTATTTTATATGTCGGTAATACCGTGGAAGAAAGATGTTTTGTTAGAGAGAATATATCTATACAGATAAAAAAATTGGAGAGTCTGTTTGTAATATTAAAATAACCGCTTTATTTTTAAATATGTAAGGTATGAGGTGTGATGTGTCACGTATTTTTTGAAATTATAAATTAATGAATGAATTTTTCATATTCAAAGAAAGGTTCACAAGTTAAATTGTACAGTGAATTTCATATATTGAAGCCTTTGTTTAGTTTAGATTGTGACACTAGCTGCAAAATGTAAAATGTTTTTTTCATTTGACAATTTCATTTTACTCTTCGAGCTGCAGTAGATCAAGGGTCATTTCTTTATTTCTTACCAATTCATAAGCATGCAATTGATAATAATTAAGTTAAACAGTAGTTTATGTAAAACCCGAAGGTGTTTTTTGTATTTTCTACACGCCCAGCGATTTTACTCATTAACTAGTTTTTTATACATGTAATTAATGATTCAGGCGAATATAAAATACGTAATATTTGTTCTAATAAAAAAACTGTATAATACATAGCTATATAAATGACAAAGTAAATATAATAAGGGAATGTATGGTGATGATAAGTAAATAAAAATATAGCACATATTAAGAAACTAATAAAATTCAGAGCTAATCTCATAATTAAAAGACATGTCTTATAAAATTATGGATTAGATTTTAATTATTTAAGCTTTGAAAAATATAACTTTGGCATGAATGATAGCAAAAAGAAATTATATTAAATAGTTAAAAATTGAGCTGTATAGATAATGTATAAAGTAGAGAAGAAAAAAGAAAGCCATGGGGCAAGACAAGACAAGACAGTAAATTATTAAACGCTTAAAATTTTTGCAAAAATTAAAATTAAAATACTTATGGAATTTTATACAATTAAAAGCTCAGACTATTTAATGAAGAAACTTATATCTTAACGTGTACTATAAAGTTTTAACAAGATATATAATATCATATCATATCTTAATACGATATCTTGTTAAAACGTTTACATAACAGGAAGATGGTTAGATTGTAGTTTTGAACAAGCTATGAAGAATAAAAAAGGCTAGGTACGTAAAGTTATTGGACTTTTAAGCCTTGATTTATTATTTCAGCGTGTTTTTTTTTCATTATTCTACATTATTTTAACGTTACATTCTAGTTGAACAACAGGTAATAGCAAGATTAACCTCTAAAGTAATTAATGCAAATGGAGGTGATTTTTGTAATTGCATTTCCTAAACGTAATAACTCTGTATGATCTGTTTTTATGTTCTCTGCCACAAATTAATTAAATATGTTGCATTGAAAAAGTCATTGAATCTTCATCACGTGCTAATTACGGGAGAACCCAAGTCTTCTTTAAGGATTAATGGTCAAATTAAATTAACTATCACTACATATAGGTACAATCAATATCGTTATTACTTTTGATGTAGTTTATCAAGGAGTTCTTAAAAAGACAGAACAATATGAACGTAATTCAAAAATTGGAACAAATTAAAAGTGTGATTTAGTTATTGCTTATTTAAATATTTGAAGTGTGTTGCTAATGATGTGGTTTTTCTCAAAACGACTCGGTGCATAGGTTCACCCTGTTGTCTATTATAATTACGTGTTCGAGAAGGTCATGGGGTAATGTGCCACAAAAAGAGAAATGATGTACGGATCCGTCCACTAAATAAGATCCTGCGCCGCTTTCCTTGAGCCTCGTAACGATACGTGACGTTACGTGCATCGATCTTCCCTCCCCTCGAGGCATCGCTGTTGCAGTCTATATAAGAATTCGGCACCCGGCTCTTCGTCATCTTTGAGTTTGTTGACTGAGGCAGTGCCGTGTTGTGTATTCAATCCAACTTTCTCAAGGTACAAATCGTTCGCTATTAGTTTATGATTAAATTAATTTTTCGTGCGTCTCTGCCATCAAGATGAATTAAAATAGAAAAATTGTATATATGAAAAGTACGCCTTATGGCATACGCAAAAAAACTATTTAAAGTTTTTTCAACAAATTTTCTATTTTTTTTTTTCGCTATTTGACCTTTCCATCGTTCATTTATAAATCGCCATATAGTGAGTTTATCAATCATATTAATTGAGCATCTTGTGAAATTGATATATTGTTAGTTTTTATTTTATCCTTGAATAAATGTAACTTTGATTTATATTTTATTTTGAGAATTTACAAGCGTATTTGCCACAGCGTTCACGATTGCGTCGTAGACATCCCGGAGAAATGTGTAGTGGAAATGTTTCAATTTCCGCAAAAACCCCTTTCAAAAGTTTCTTTAATATTTCTCCGTTTTCAATATTTCATTTTCATGTTTTCGTTAATATATGTGTACCTAACCATTAAACAACATTTTTATTTTCAAATGTTACGTCAGTACCAATCGCTTTAAAAAGCTACTATATAAAACTATACAGACTGCATAGAGCTAAAAAAGATAGTGATTTGAAAATATTAGTTTTTTTAATTGCTTTTTTGTTTTTTTTTTTTTTTTTTTATTTTTCTGCAACACCCGAGGGCTTACAAATGCGTTGCCGGCCTTGCTTTTTTGTTAAGTTATTATCAAGTTCATCATGATTAATTCTTTAAAAATTCGTTTTAGAACACAAAATACCCGAAAAAAACTTATATACGTTAGGTTCATTGGCAACATTTGGACGCTAATAACGAGTTTAATGAAATCTCTGAAAGTTACCATTAAATCTCTCATTTTACTAGTATTTAAAATTTTTGAAGACTTTCGAGTTACTTGGAGTGAATAACAAACATATGCGCTGATTTCCTACATTAAAACATTTTATTAAAAGTTTTTCTAATTTTACCAGTGGCATCGATTTTAATATTTATTCAAGTATTAATTGACTTGCTCCTTTTAAAAAAGAAAAGATAATATATGAATTATAATGATAACGATAATATATCAATTGATATAAGAATAGAAATAAGACAATTTTTTTCTTAACAAAAATTCAATAGGTTCACATTTTATATGATGAGACTGTTTGATTTCGTAAAGTAATAAGTAGGGTAAATATGACAGAGTTTTTCCCGAATATAATATCATACATCTAAAATAATGGGATTGCATTCACGTTTGAAACATATATAAATGTCTATTTGATTTTACATGTAAATTTAAATGCACCGTAAAAACACACGGCGCCAATTAAAAATAAAATCAAATGCTTTAATTTTTATTCACTCCCTTTTATCTTCATGTTTCAGAACCAAAATAAACAAAATGCAATTAACCACAATCGTCGTACTGGCTTGCTTGGTTGCGACCGTAGTGGCTAGCGTAAACTACGAAACTCCTGTTGAAGATGTACTCAGCTTAAGAGACGATGTCTCGGCATACGAATCAATGTACGGCGAATATGAGAATGAAAGGAGCCCAAGGACGAAAAGAGGTCTCCTATTGTTGAAGAAAAAGTTACTATTAGGTAATGTATATCGGAATCCATACCGTAGCTCGATCCATATTCATTTTCTAAGCAAATCGTTTAACTGCGTGGAAACTGTTTAAATATAGTTATAAATTATCCCAGGCTACGTCACGCTCACAACTTTGAAGAATTAGGTTCAGGCAAGCGGCAGTTGAGCCCGTGGTAATGAAATAAACAAAAATTAAGGTATAAAAACCCACAAGCAAAATAGAAATAGGTCTATTATATTAGCGTACATACGAGGAAGCGTTATGAGAAATAAACAAAACAAAATATCGTCCTTTCGGGCTAGACAGGTAAAATGATAAAACGTCAGCTTTGTAATGTTCCTTATTTAAACCATAAAATTATTATGCAAACCGAGTAATGGGCTCCAATCATCAGCTTAAATACAGATTTCGTTAACTTTGTATATTATACTATTGTCAAACATGGAGCTAGGCAATGATTCATAGTATTCTCTAACTTTTGACAATCTCAATTTTTCTTCATCTTAATTGCACCATAAAAAATTGATATTTTTATATTTTATTTTGATTATTGGTATTCATATACCAATATATTATAGATGTTTGAGAGTTTTCATTTTCAAATCGGTTATTTGAACATGACATCGGTGATGCGTATTGTAACGAATTTTAATTATATTATCGATTTATATAGTCAATACTTTTTTTAAATAGCGCGAAGGGAATAATTTTATTAAGTCTTGAATTCATTTTCTGATAGCGTCCAAGCGGTCATGCATCTGTACACGTAATTACACTTGACAGCCGTTACCAAACACCGTAACATTAATACTAAGTTTCTAGTAAAGACCAAAATACACTTGACATTTACAGATTGCGAATAGCATTAGATAGAATATATATGGTAAACATTAACTCCTTTTAAGGTATTGCCAGTAGGTCATTCTAATGCGTACTAAATCGAGTAAAATTCTTTCTGCTTTTACAGAAGTACTTGGGTTACTATCTAGCTCAATGCCAATTTATTGAGTCGACAAATTCGGAGAACAACATCTGTTTTTTGATTTTCTACTTTTCAGTGTTCTTCGCTTGGCATTCGATTGTTCTACCAATGCCATGGCAAATGATTGCCTTATTTCAAATGAATGAAGTCACTTAATGAGCTATTTTGAGATGATTTACTTGTTATGAACCTCATAACCAGTAAATCATCTCCACAATTTCTAGTATTACTTTAATGAAGATAAAAATGTAGACTTGGAACGAAAATAACGTACGTAATATTATTTACGAAATACAGTGTTTCAACCGTTTTATGTACTATTTAAAAGCATTCTTGTAGTCATTAGGAAAACATATAGTTGACGCCCTTACATCACTTGAACGGAAAAGGTTTTTGCCCAGCAGTGGTATTTGTAATGTTTGTAATTACAGCCTGTTTATTTTACTTAAGTTATTTAAAAAAAAATAATACTTAAATTTTCTGTCAGACATTTATCACATTGTACACTTATCAACTTTAAGGTTTGGACCTTAATAATAGAGCTATGTTTCAAGTACTGGCTCTATCAACACCAACTATCGCCACAATCTGTTCTGTGCCTGTCTGCCAGCAAATATAACGTATTAAATGAAAGCAATATGAAATCCGTTATATCAGTGTTTGCCATTACTATGGATTTTATTGCCGAACAAAATTGTCCAATGTGGCACTTTGAGGTCACGTTTCAACAAAATGGAAAATATTTCTTAAGATGTTAAGGTTCCATCTTATTATTTTCTCCTATTAAAATAAATTAATCATTTATAAGCGGCTGTCACAGGCCCAAGGTTATCATGACCAAACTTTCGGTTACTTTGTGTTTATTTATCACCGTGGAATTTCACAATAAGAACATTGTTGAGAGTTCTAAGCTTTATTTAAGTTATAACTCAAATGTCAATGCGTGAGATATGATTCGTTAAATTTTTTGGCCTAACAACTAATGTGATCTGCTAATTTAGCAGTCTAGCTATTTCTTCTTGTACTTAGGTTGTGTACTGAGTGACCAAACCCATATGGGTTTTTGAAAGGCTATTTGTGTATTCTGTCGTATTGTTGTTGAAGATTGACGTGCTATTTGAATAGACTATTCTCATACTCCGCGATTTGTTCGGTGGGAACTAATAATAATTCGGCCACTAATGAATTGCGTTTGTTTAAGTACGACGATTACAATGAACGCTTGCGTTAAGGTTGTTTGGAAAAGTAATGAATGCATTAACATTAAGCAAAGTAAATATTATGCCTCATAGTTTATGTAGGTGGCTACATATGTCGACAAAGTCCAGGTGTTTGTTTTAAAAATGAGATGAGTCTGCTTATATGATCTCCGTTTGTCGTGTCGCTATAATTGGTTAAACAAAAGTAAAGCATTTATGCACATAGATGAAAATCGAAGTTATACTATTAATTATATTATAAACCGAAATCATACCAACGTAATTATGTTAAAAATTATCAATTTATTACTTATCTTAACTACTTAAAATCTGTTATGTAAAATATAGAAGTTAACTTTTGTCAAGAAAAATAAAATGGCTTTGGAATACAAGATCTTGCAGAAGGTTTTTTAACTTTAGCTAGCCTTTGCGAGGTAGTTAGCGACATGGAAAAAGTATTTAAGAAGACTAATGCGATTTAACATTATCCATGTTCAGATATAGAGATAGATTATGTCACAAATGCAAAATAACGAAGATAAGTGCTCAAAACTTATTCAAATGAATTTCGATAACTATAAATATATTTCAGGTGCTCTAGGATTGAAGGCTGCCAAGGTGGGCGCGGTAGGAGCTGGTATAGCCGGAGCACTCGCTCTCAAGGGAAAAGCGTCAGTACCACGTGAAAAAATTCATATCTACTACCACTAACATCGGCTTCTCGCAAATGCCTGTGTAATTATTAATACATATTTTATATATTTCATATCCATAAGTATATATTATCATATTATATATCTTTTCAGCCCTTATTACTGACACAGTAATGAGTGGAGAGTATTTTTTTTTGTAATTATTGCATTTAAAACATTTTGCCAGTATTTCATTTTCATTTCATAAATATTATATTTGCTTTTATTAATTATTTGGGATACTTACAGCCATGCTCCTACACGAACGTAGAAGTTAAAAGGTAAGTTTCGTTATGTATGTAATTATGTATACAAATCTTATTCGCAAACTTTCTAACACGCTACATCATACTATATTTAACATGAATAAAAGTACGCTATTATATTTATTTACAGATATGATAACAATGAGAGCCGTGATAGCTCAGTGTCCGGGCGCTCGCCTTTAATTCAATATAGTCGAGCAACCTGAGTTCAATCCCCGGTGCCGGCACCAATGAAATTGTCAATTTTAAGTGCTGAATTATCACGTGCTCAGCGGTGAAGGAAAACATCGTGAGGAAACCTGCATATTTTCGAAATAATAACAAAAAAAATAATTCGAATATATGTGAAGTCCGCCAATACGCAGTGGGGCCGCGTGGTGGACTATTTACCCTCTGTATGCCTTTTTGTATAGGCTGATACTTTACTTTTTTTATGATAACAATAACTACGGTGTTTACTGTTTTTTGCTTGTTTATAAAAACATGATGCACGGTATTGAGACGAGTGAAATAGAATAATATTTTTTATATTTTATTGCGATTTGCAAGGAGAAAATTTGTTTTTCTTTGCAAATCTCAATATTTTAGAAAAACCTTTGTAACGCAGATTATTTAGTGAAATATTGTTAAAATGTTTTGAAATTAGTGATATAACTCGTGTAACTAAAACAGTATCAAAATCGCAAATTTGATAAAAGAATCCATGATATAAATAGTTCCGAATGAACATGCCATGAAAATTTGCACGTTAATAACAAGAAAATAGCAACGATTGGGGGCAACATTGTCGAGTCATGTTCAAAACTGTGCCAATGACAAAGCTTCGAGATTATGAGTAAACAATTATGTTTGCTGGTTTTGCGTCACGAACCACATTGCGTCTGGTATGTTTGTTTTTGTGGCAATCGGACCGGTTTATTGTTAATGAAGGTGTTTTACATAATACGCCACAAATCCCGGGTGATTATGATAAATATGATTATTAGATCGAGGTAGATATCACCGAAAAAGAATAGTTGGTAAAACCCAACTTTATCCAATTTTTGGGAATGCGGATTTTTAAACGCGTAAAATTTTCTATAACTTTTATATAATTGTTTTATCGCTTTTACAGAAATTTTGTTTACGTATGTATATTATTACTCGTAGATCAAATATTTATTTCGCAGTATTAATTAAGTAAGATTAATAATTTATGAAAGAGTCAAAGGTTGTATGTAATGTTGACTCATGGTCGGAAGTCAGGAATTTAAATGCTAGTGCAAAAAATATATGTTTTTTTAAACTTTTCTGCATGTTCAAGTTACTATATGAGGATCAACTGCCATGTTATTAAATTAATGCTTCGAGTGTAAATTAGCTTGCTATTATTATTAATATTGGATTGATCAATATTCGTCAAACTAAAAATTGCTAAGTTGTTAATGAAGTTGTTACAGAAAATTTTATTAAATATTTTTTAAAGCAATGTTTTAATGGTATTTTAATAGCTATATATAAATCCAATAAAATAATCAAATAAAAAATGGTTTTATCGGCGGTATTCTAATAATAAATTAAGTTTATGAGTTATGTTTAGGTACGCAAAGTAAAGTTTTTATATATTATATGTCGCCAATATTTTCGATATGAACGCATTCATCATTATTAGGAATACATGAGATAAATATCCCCATCAATTTGTCACTATTACTCTTGAAAGAATCACTGTCAATAACTCTCCTTTTTTACAGATGGTCGGGTTAAACGTCGAGCCTGATAACTTCCTGGTGCACCACCGTTTTCAAACTAAGAAAATTTAACAATATTTTAATATAGCAATGGGTAAATGAAGATAACCGTTGCGCGAGGCTAAAGTCAATATTTTAAGGGTTCAACGAACTCCAAATCACGATTAATTTGGATTTGATAAATTTATCGAAATGTAATGTCATGCCGAATCAAAGCTGAAACTCTTAAATTGTGTCCATAGATGTCACGTTCGTTATAATATTTATGACGTAAAGGGTGACAATTAAGTAGTGTGTTGTGTTTTGTTTTATAATTATACGATTAAAAATATGTTTTTTTTTTATTTATAACTAATTCCGCTTCCTCAACTACCATTATTTCTTTGTCTACTTCAAAATAAAATTAATTTACCAGCCAACTAATAAAGCAGTTATTCTTCGAGATACAAAACAGGGTCTGCAAGTTAGTAAACATCAGCGAATGTTAGTGGTCGAATAAAACTCCTACTACTTGCCTACTTTTCTTAGATACAACACAAATGCATATGGGTAAGTTCACGAAAATATTTCTAGTGTTAAATTAAATAAGACATCTAATTGGAGCACTGTAATATTGTCACTGTCTTTAATATCGAATTTATAAATATTTGAATCATCAATCATTTATGTGGTTCCTTAATATATAATTTATAGTAATGTTATAAATTTTTCAGAATTACGTGAACACTACACAATGAAATAATTTTGATGGATTTTATCGCATTAAAATACCTTAAAATCTTTTAATTTAATAATTTAGTAACCCCGACACATTTAAGTGCGTAACAATATGAAACATTTTTTGTAGAAAATTTGAAGGATATGAAACATAAGATAAAGTTAGCTTCACATTTTTATGATTAATAACTAAAATTTTAATTTCATACAAAGGAAATATAATATTATTTTAAAACTATGACACATTTTATACTTATTTAAGGTATGCTACGGAACATCTATAATTCGTCAAGTGCATTCCTTAGTTTTCTCTATATTTCTATACGGAGCTGAAACTTGAAGCCTTAAAAGTCTAGACATAAGCAAAATAAGTGCTTTCGAAATGTGGTGCTAGAGACGAATGCTAAAGATACCATGGACAGCCATGAGGACAAACTCGTAAATTTTACAAGAGCTCCACATCAAAAAACGACTTACCTCTATATGCCGAGAACGTCAGCTAAGTTTCTTTGGACATATAAAGCGATCACAAATGCATGAGCTGGAGAAGCCGTTGATCGTGGGACAGATGGATCGTGGAATTCCAACACGAAGGAGTAAAAGTATTGTAGAGGCAACAGGAGAAACTACAACGATCCATTGAAATGCCGCAGGATAGAAGCAAATGGCGACAGGTACATATGGTCACGATCCTCATTAGTGAGGGAACGACGAAGAAGACTGAATATCTTGCCTATGCTACGAAAGGTCCTGCTATCATTATTTCAGGCTATAAATACCTACTGATCGGTTAATACATTTAGTTTCCTTCTTTATCGCAATTCCATAAGATATCCGGTATCATTTCGTACAAACGACATTCAACTGAAGTTAATTAGAAGTTCGTTGTCAGAGAAAACGCAAATCATTCTTAGTATTAGATTTCATTGTTTAGAGTTTCGATAGTTCAAATTGTTTCAAGGGTCAACCACAATTCATTGAACGGCAGTATCGACAGTTTTAAGGTATTCAACTTTATAATGGTCAAGTTCGAGTTGAAATTCTTAAGTAGTAAGACGGAAATCGCGCGTGTGATGCTGACGCTAATGTGATCTAATTATTATAACCTAAAAAGGAGATTACGAGACTGCAACCTACTGAAGAAATTTGACAGCCGCTTATAACCTTACCAGTCTCCAGATCAAGTCCCCAACGCTACTATGTCATTTTAGTTGGGTAAAATTGCAAGACTCTCAAGGATGATTCCCGAGGCTGTTGAAAATTAAAAAAAAAACTCCAAATTTCAATAGAAAATAAGGTCGGGTGTTACCATCAGCTTGAAATCCTATGATTAATAAAATTAAATCTAGGCCCAAACGAACCACTACTGCAAGACAAGATAAAATTAGCATGTTCTGCGTGGATTGACACAAAAATTTATAATTAAAAAGCCCGGATTAACAATGACACTCAGACGTCCAACTCTTCAGTCTGTCGCGTGACCATGAACGCTGTAAAGTGTTCGAAACGTCGCGAATTAAAACATAAAATAAACGCGATAAATCCGTAAACATAGTTTCATTTAATAATTGCAAGACACCGTTCAACTGCCATCCTCTATCTCATTGACTTCAATCTGGCAAGTGTAAATAGGTTGTTACTGAGCTAATGCGTTGACCATCTAACATAACTACAATTGAAGTTTATATTGTTCAAGGACAGCGGCGAGTGACGAGTACGAGTACGAGTTTGGGAGCCCGCCAAACACTCAGATAGTTTTAGCGGACCCTCAATTGAGTAGGCTCAAGGACCCCTGAGAGCTCAAGACACCGTTTAGCATTCCCATTAGAGGGTGTGCGAAAGGGCCGAACCTCGACTAGATTGGTTGTTTTTATCTGACTTGGAGGATTTCTAAAGCTATCATATATTGGGCAAGCTCGAGTTCTGCACTTGCACCAAAAAATAATAATTGTACAAAAAGCGATTCTATTTGGGTCTAGTTGGAAGGCAGCTTGCAAGCCAAGTTGACTCGCTAATGTCCGATGCTTTACACCGCTATACTTACTCACTGTACTTATCTACTTCACTAAACACTTGACCAGTGTAAATCGGAGTGTACTTGTAATCCTAGGTACTCGTTTACATTGTCACTATCCGTAGTAGTTAAGTATTTAGTTCGAAGTTCCTTATGAAGAAGAAGAAGAAACGTTTCCTTATCTTCAGCATGCTTGAGGAACGAGAGGTGTACCGAAAAAGATGCGAGCATACGATGCACGAAACGTCTCAAGTTTTTAAAATCTCTAGAGATGAATTTAATAAGAAACTTTACAATAAAAACATTACATATTTTTCTATTAAGGTACAACAATTTTTTGGGACAAAGTAATAACACATAAGTAGTTTGAAGAACCTTCTGTATATGACGTGCTTACACATAGTAAGACAGATTTGGGGAAACCCGTATCACATCAAATGTTGTGAAACCTCGTGTCATTGACTCTTAAAACTTAACAACTTTGTATCATATTGTCAAATTCTCGATTTTTTTTTCTCGAATTCTCTTCGCTTTGTGAAATTCTTTAAATATCATATTATCTTAACAAAGGAATATAAATACAGTAACAGAAATACTAGTTTCAATTAATTAACTATATTCTATTATATTAAAAAAAAAAATAAGACAACCAATAATCATTTTGATTATACTTCATTATAAATTGTACATTTTTGTAGATAAATGAACAATTTGGGCACTGCGGGATTCAAACCTGTGTCTTCTGGTGTCGGGAAACGTATTTGTTAAGGTTTGTTTTTGTTCATTTATCTACAAAAATTTACAATGTTAAGTTTTGTCTTGTGTGCAGGCAACTAACAATAAAAATAATAATTAATCCTATATATAATTTATTCGATTTGAACAAGTTTTAGTTGAAATAGTTTTACGAGTACTATTTACTGTCGAAAATGTAATGTAATCATTATACAGAACGGTGATTGTCAACGGTATTTCTCAGATGAGTTAATTCGGGATACCAACATAATAAAATAGCAGGCATCTTCAATGATTCCGCATATTTTACATGTAGTTAAAATAACATATGTCTTTGCAAACAAGCGACTTATGGACGCAAAAAGCAAAATACATAATATTTACTACAAATGTAATTGTTATGTAAAAGCATTAAATCATTCAAAAGAGGCTTTAAAGTTCCCTAAATTTGGTAAAACGATTCAAGTGCAAGTGACCTGACCATGAGCGTGCATCGTGTTGACATTGTACGATGACGGATATTGAAGGGTGTGTGACTATGTTTGTGAAGTTTTTAGATTATCGAAAACAATTGTGGCCTGTACAATTTTTTAAAATTAAACAGTATTCATTAATTTTACAAATAAATTACAAGAACTTTTCTTCGAGTTTTTTAATATCTTGTATTAAATACGTATGAGGTATGTCAAACATACTCATTTTACGTGCCTTATATAAAACTATTATCTGCGTGATATTTATAAGCTTTTCGAAAGAGCAGAACAATTTCAGATTTTTGAAAAGAGGATTTTTTTTACTGTTTTAAGTAACAGTTTAAAATTTTCCTACTGCTCAGTAAAGAGCAGCATAGTTCAAGTTCATTATTTTTTTCTGTGAGAAGGTGGCAAACGAGATGGAGGTTCAACTTATGTTAAGTAATAACCGCCTCCCAATGACATTTACAAACCTTGTAGAGATGCAGCTACTTCACATGCCACCCTTTAATTAAGCGGGCCCTGGCTACCACACTCACCAGACGAGACGCAGAAGTATATCAATTCCACTTCAAGCCGGTCTCCTGTGAGGTCGTGGTACTTACCTGGACGGACCTGTTCATTCGTGCAACAGAGAAGACTGTTGCGTGTTTAAAAGGTAATAGTTAAAGGTTATATATCTTAGAATAGTAATATAAAAATATTTGCACTTAAGATTGAAGATTCCCACAGCGGCGACAATCTTTTCGCACTTTTTCTACATATTTTAATAGTAATATAATTAAAAAAAACGGAATCCAGGTTTTCAGTTAAAATGCATACTGTTTTTTTACTATACTTATGTCACTTTGCACGGCCTTTCTTCACCATGAAAATTTATAATAACAAAAAAGAATTGATACTCAATTCTGTGTATCTCAGGCATACAATAGTAACTCCACATTTTTCAAAATTATTTTTCTTGTACCATTAAAATCGCATGAACAAATTCTATACGATAGTATAAAGTAATAAGTCCTACATAATAACCAATAAAAATATTTTACATTAAAACTTGACACCACGCCTGCATTATTCGAGTAAATGCCCTTGGATTATCTTTGTAAAACTATACCTGATTATGAACCTATATATCCTTTTACAGGTCAAGTTAATTTTGCTAAGCTTCATGCTTGTTACAACATCAATTCAAAAACCCCATGCACCTGCCCCTTGTGCTTTACATAAATTAGGCAAATTATTGTGACAGTAATAATTCCTATATATGTATCGTACAAGAAATTTTTAATAAAGATTTAAGTTATCAAACGTAATATGTACTAATAACAAATTGGTCGCATGTGAGAATAAGGGAAAGCTTTGACTATAAATCAAAACAAAGTGTTAAAAGTTTAGAAAAAAATCATTGAAGCAAAGACATAATTTATACAAATAAGATATTTGACAAAAACTATTATTGGGGGCCTTTATCAACGCAGTAGAACCCAAAATGATATAATATAAAGTATTAAAACTTTGATTTGAAGAATTATTATAAGCTTTATTCTAACGATTTCGATTATACTAGCAAAAGCAATACGTGTATACTATGTATAAGTTAACACGCGTACGTACGTAATTTGCCAATACGCGTCATTGAACCTGATGTTTGGTATGATTTTTTAATTTAAACGTCTTAAATTCCATCGGCCTATCTTAATGGAAGCATATAAAATATATGGGTGGGGCAGTGACATAACTATTGTATACCGGTAATTTTGAATTTTATTTTATGAGCAATTTCGTCGACCTATAAAAGACACGGACAGGACCGCCCGGGACAGTCGGAGAGAGGCGCGTTGTGACTGTGCTCGGTCTGTAATTTCAAAAGTTTAAGCAAAAGAATAAAAAAGAATTTGTAAGTGATTATTATGTATACATTTTTAAAATAAGTTATCATTAATATTATATTCTCAGGCTTTATTAATAACGATTCTTAAAACTGTCTACAATAAGCTACTGAATATTCGTACTCGTATATTGAATACTAAGTAAATATTCGTTAAAATAATTAGAAATTATTTATGCATTCAAACCTTTTAGTTTGCCGACAACCTCTGCAATTGTAAACGTGGAAACGTGTTAAATCAATAGAGGCAACACTTTAAATGTAACTATTTTAAATGAAATATTTATTTAAATATTTGTAGTATTCGCGTGGTAACGAGAAATCAACACTTTATGAGATAAGTCCATACACTATGATTTTAAATTATGTTCCTTTCATAGAAAATGAAATTGAGCGTTGTAGTCTTCTGCGTTCTGGTGGCATGCGTGACGGCATTAGCGATCGAGCGAGGGCCGTTGCTATCCGCTTTGCAAATACGGGGAGACAAATACGGACCTTCAACTTCGGTCGAGTCCAGGCAGAAGAGGAGTCTTGGTTTACTAGGTATCGTTGATAATTTAATTGATGTAAAAACAACGTGCGGTCAGACTCTGGCTTTACTTTGACTGATGTTTTTGCTTTTGCCGTTTTCAATAAAGATGTGAAAGAACGTCGCCGGTTAATATAAGTTATGCTATTAGCTAATAAAGAAAATTTGTGTTCGATAGTTGAGAATACGACGGATGTTTGAACATAAATTTGGATGTAGTATTAAACTAGTTATGTTAATTTTTTCATTTAATGAGGTAGAATTATAAGGTTTGGAATCAAGATGAGAAATTTAAGAATATTATTAAAAGGTCAAAGTGTGACAGTGTGTATTCGTTATGTAATTTATTATTTTCTTGTTTTTTTTAATAAAGCATTACATAGTTTAAAAACGAGTAAAATTTTAAAGGTGAATCAGGAATAAAAATTAAAAAGGGGTTTCTTTGGCTAACTGTGTTAATGGTTATATTTATTGTTAAATATCCAAGTATATGTCGTAATTTTATGTTTTCAAATATCATAAACTCTAGCCTTAGATAGCTTTAGGATCTTTATTTTTGTGGGTTTTGAACTTCCTATCTCCTTGACGGGTACTAGTTTAATCTTTTTTCTTTTAAAACATAATTTGGGTTATGTTATTAGAAGCAATATCAGTTAAGAAAGATTTCGACAATAGGAAAATTTTGATATCATAGCGTTTTGCATATTTAAAATTTTTGTAGTGCTAAATTAATCACTTTTTTATTTGAGAAAGTGTCAAGCCAGCTGGTGACCGTGACCTGATCTTGAGGGATAAACGCCACCCATGGACGTTTGCAACACCCATAGGGTTGCAATTACCTTGCACCTTTAATAAAGTAGGCTCCGGCTACCCCACTCACCAGACGAAACGCAGAAGTCTCTTCCACTTGAAGCGGATCTTCTGTGACGTCGTAGCACTTCGCCGGACAGATCTGCCAATCCAACAGCAGAAGGTGCTGCGTGGCCCTACCACAGACTAATCTACAAAATTAAGATGATACATTAAATTTTATAGAAAAAAAGAACTAAAAAAGTTTTTCGCTGATGCATTTGCTGAAAGCAAATGCTTTTTATTGGTTGACAACTAAGAAATTTGCTTATTTGTTAAATGAAATGAAAGATTTTTTTACTTGGAATGAAGTTCAATCTATAATTCATTTTCCATTTTGTTATTTCTCTGATAACTTGATAATAGAGTTTGAATTGTAAGGATGACAGCTAACATATATAAGAAGAAGATCATAACATTTACGGATATCATAAAATTGGGAGTGAGAAACATCTATAACTGAAATCCGCAATCACTTGCCAATCTATTAAATAAACTATTTTATTCGCAATAGTTTATAATATTATTTTTTAATGAGCGATTGAAATAAATTTTCTTTATAATAGACAGCCTTTGATGTATTTTTCAGGCGTCGGAGCTCTTGGCGCTGGCGTTCTGGGCGCTGGGGCCCTTGGAGCCGGTATTATTGGCGCTAAAGCCCTTGGGGCGGGTTTCGTTGGAGGCGCTCTAGCTTCCGGTGCGTTACATGGGCACGGAAGAAGCTATGGCGGTTACGGCGGCTACTACGGCAGCAGATACGGCCACGGGTACGGAGGTTATGGCGGCTATGGAAGCTACGGCGGTTATGGCGGTTACAGCGGCTATGGCCACGGTGGCTACGGGTAATGGTTCTTTGAGACACTGTATTATTTCGGATGTAGTAAAAGCAGAGTAAAAGTAGAGTAACAAGAATATATTTCAATTTCAATTAATACAAGTTAACAATGTCTTTAATCCCTTCTCGAAGTCTCAAGTAAAAGTAAGTGGAGTAACAATCTTATAAACTGCTGAGAAAGCTAAAGTTTTGTGTCCCGCTAATTGTGCCGATGTGCTTATATGTATGTATTTATTATTATTTGTATGTATTATGTATATCTGGTATTATAATTTTTATATTGTTTATGTTTTATCTACTGTATTTAGAATATCTTGTAAAAGGTTAACCGGAAGAAATATAATGCCTTTGGCAAAAGTCCGCTTTTGTACTATTTGTGGATAAATATATAAATAAACAAATAAATAATTTTACTGTGTACGGAAGCATAATACATACATTATATTATTATAATTGTAAATATTTCACATTTTTGTTTTCAGAAACTACTACCCCTCTACAAGCTATGTCATTTCGGATCCATGGTGCTGAGCATTCCAGTGTCAAGTTGAGTCGAAACATTGTTGACTATTTGTAGACTTTGTTGTGTATGTTAATGTGGAGTGCACTGAAATTTACCATCGATTTACAAATTAATGTAATACGTGTAAAGTAAAATAAAATATGGCTTTAAGATAATGTTGCCGTTTTTATTATTCATCTTAACCTTCTCGCTTTTTATGATAAGTACCTACACGTAATATGTTATAATAGATGGGTAATCCAAAAGGGATATTCTAGTCAACATGTTCATTTTTAGCGTTCCGTAACTTAAAAGGTAAAAAGAGGAACCCTCATAAGATCACTCTCTTGTCCGTCGGTTTGTACGTGGGTCACCACCGATTTTATCAGGAACGGGTGGAACTAGCAAGTTGACATTTATACAAAATACTGAAGTTTATAGTCCGTAGTGGTTCAACCGCAAGTATCCTATAGGTTTTGAGTCGAAAACCTATGTGGTAGTTAGTACCCGTTGATCTAAAATCTAAATTTGCTCATATTTTTCATCGTGTTGACTCAGGTCCTCCATTTTTATGTTAACTAATATTATTATTAGTCAACCATGTCAACCAATCGAACAACCATAATCGATAAACTTTATTTTAAAAACAAGGTTATAATTACATATATTATTTTGTTATTACTAGAAGTTAAATATCCCCGCCGGACTCAACGACCTCTTTTTAATCTAATTAGGTTTAGTTATGCGGGCGATGTTTAAATAATTATTTTTCGTTTGATAATTGGCAAAGTGCCTACTAGATCCTTTAGATAATTTAGACTTTGTCGAGCAAGGGCCTAGTCAAATACTTACACGCTTTGAACGATGCCGAAGGTGAGGGCGTTATGTACTTACATAATTGGCTCTGTTTAGGATACGAAATGAATTTGAATATGAATGGTTCAGAGTTTGTTCTGCCAACGCCAACAAAGACGTATAGATATACTTCTTTGTTGGCGTTGGCAGATCATTTGATAATGGGGTTAAGAATATACTTTTATTAAACTATGCGACTAAAGAGGCTTTGAAAAATGCCGTTTTTAAATTTTATTTAGATTCGACAAAATTGAACAACTTTTTGATCAGGATTATCTTCCCTTTCCTTTTGATTTTGATTTCTCCCATTGCTGTTATATCTACGAGTTTCTTAAATGTTCTTGCCCATACCCCTTTTCACCCTTCTTGACATATCTAATACTACGTCGGATATGTACGTGTATATGTATATTTACAATGTTCTACGTATATATTTTATATAAAACCACTTTTATTTTCACTATTTATTTGTCGGTCGACTGGTAGACCTAATGGTGTTAAGTCCACCATTGTACGCTGTTGTTCAAAAACTTGTTAAATATATAAATTTTTGTTTTGATGTGGAGAGAGTTATTTATTTAGTGAAACAATTTAAACAAGTTGGGCATGTAAGCGATTACAAAAGAACAGAATATGGTGTATGATTAAAAATTTGTCCTTATCAATTATTTAGCCACCCTATTTCACAAATAAGATCACATAACGGAGCTTTTTATATTTGCCTGTTCGCTTTTATTCGCTTTCAATATAAATAAAAAAAAATCCTTTGAATGTAACATTATGCCACGGTTATTGTTATATTATTATTTGTATTGGTACTAACGTTGAGTGTTGTTATGAATAGTGGATGTTATTGAGAATGAGTTTCGTCGAGTTAAAGTATGTGTTTGATGTGATTTTCTCCTTTATCATGTTTCATTGTTACCAACAATAAAGTATATTAAAATATTTGAATAGAGTAATGGTTTATTACTCGTAACTACATTTGCTGTTTAATTATTTTAATGGATTCGTTTTTCAATCGATTAAACAGGTCTGTAAATGAAAAATGTGAGTAAAGTGGTGAGTGGTCTCGGGTTATTCCACTCACCACTAAAAATGAAACGCAAAAGTATAACAGGTGACCCCAATGGCATAATGGGTAGTGTACCTGCCTCTTGCGCCAGAGGGTCTGGGTTCCCCACTACTGGAAAAATATTCTGCGATGAACATAGTGTTTTTCTAGTGTCTGGGTGTTATATATCTAATATGTATTTATTTACAAAAAAAAGTTTGGGAGAACGAGGGAAGTGCGTTCATAGAAAACGGTGTATAAAAATGTGTCCTAAAATATTTATTACTAGCTGTTATCCGCGGCTTCACCTGCGCGGTCAAAGGGAATTAACAATGAGTTTTTTATTATATCCCAGAATATCTCGCAGATGGCTGAATGTTTTCTTACTTAGTTGACTCAGGCTATACTATACTAAATAAAGATATTCTTTGCCTATATTTTGGACAATTCACACAATATCTTTATATGTTACCTACGTGTTATTCTGATGTATAAGCTACATTATTGTAAAGTTTCATTAAAATCTATTCAGTAGTTTTTGCGTGAAAGAGTAACAAACATCCATCCATACATACAAACTTTCGCCTTTATAATATTAGTAAGGAAGTAAGGATTAATAAGGATTATTTATCATAATAGTTCCATTTCACTCCGGTCTTCGGTGAGCCCATGCTTCCCCTCCGAATGAGTCTGTTCGTTTTATTAAAATAAAAACATATGTTTATTATGTAAATAAAACATAATAGGTATCTACTAATAATTTTCAAAAAATAGCTGCGTGTACTAGTACGCACGTGAGAAGTTATACTTCTTACGCACGTGAGAAGTTACTTCTTTAATATAATTAATTACAATAAAATAATAAAAAGACTGGAAAAGGATATAGAAAATAAAAATAATAAAATTATGAAAGCGCCATCTACATTCTTTATTGAGAACTGTTACGGGCGAACGTGATTGAGAAAATGCTGCCATCTGTAATAAGCGGTTTAGCGGGCAGTTTCAAAGGTGTGACTTTTGTATTACAGTGATACGCGCGCATCTTAAAATTTCACTCTCATCATTTTTTCACAACGCGCCTGATGAAGTATAACTTCAAAAATAACTTATAACCATTAATCGATGACTCACTGACGCACTCGCAGCAATTTTAACTGAGAAATTAACAAGCATAAATAATTCAAAAGTGGAAATCATTTTGAAATATTATATCCATATTATGTACCCCCCTCCAGCAACTGAGAAAATTCTAAGGACAACTTATATGCTTAAATCTATCAGAATGTATTTTCATTTCTTAAATGTATAGAAGAATTAGGAATACATAAATACACTCGAAAAACTTTACACTACTACGCACTACGGCATTCGAGTAATATAAAAAAAATCAGTCTTACACTGGTAAAAAAATGTTTAAAGGAATTTCACAAAAATCCTTCGTCGGTTCCATCAGACTTATTAAGTCTCTGAAGGAAAACCAGTTTTAGTAACGCTATAAGGATGAGCAAAACTTTGAGGTTATTTTATTAAGAAGCATAATTTAAAAAGACGAAACTTGACGTAGTACATTCCTTTTTTATTTTTGGCGATGAGCAGTCCTAGGCATATCATAAATATTTACCGCCGTGGAAGGCGCTCACTTTTATTGTAATGTGGACCCTCACTCTTGTCAAGAAAGATGTAATCAGCCGTCAAAATTATTATTCTTGAAAACACCATGTTATTATAGCTTTTAAACGTATTTAATAATTTTGACAAGGTTGTTTTGAGAAGGCTTACTGAGTGGCATACACATTACACGTGAATTCAAAGATTCAACCATATTTTACATGTATTGTGTTAAAAAGTAACTGTTCGAGAAGTATTTCATATTGTTTTCGATTTTAGTCTTATGAACCTTAACGGAAAAAGTTTTTGGATGTGCGCATTGTTAAGTTGTAAATGTATCCACGGGATGAATTGAGTAAATGCCACGTTAACATACCTTTTGTAGCCGTAGGATTAAAAAAGGACATAGAATTCGAAATATTAATATGTACACACGGACAAAAGGACTTTATCGGGTTTTCACGCTGACATTCTGACAATACAGTTGGTCATTTATTTCGCATGAATACCTCTAGGCTACAAACAAATTCAACTTTGAATGAAACAAAGAAATTTGTTTCCATGTGCTTTTAAACAATTTCAACCGTGTTAGAGACGAATTTGTTCGTCTATCAAAAATAGTTCACTGATTAACCAAGGCAGTTTTGATGTTTTAATGAATATGAAACAAAATGTTTTTAATTTAAAGATTTCTAACGCTTAATTTTAAGATTTTTATAAAAATGATTATGACAATTATACAACGAATATACATTTTTTTAGTTACTTATAAAATTTTGCACCGGATACATCATTCTTGAGGCTTTTAATTATTTCTTTCGCACACACTCTACTTAGCTAATGCTGCTTTGATAAGATCCTTTTCAATCAGAAAGATCTTCTTAATGATCAGAATGATAAATTCTAAGAGTGTAACCATAATTTTGGCAACTAAAATGACATTCGAAAAGCCATTTGTAATTTTTTTCAATTTGATTAGTTAATTTTTA